ATCCATCCATCCATCCATCCATCCTGTATCCATCCATCCTGTATCCATCCATCCATCCATTTATCCTCGAATTATCATTCTTATATTTTTTGTTCTACATAGGGTTCGTAGTTCTTTTTCGAGACGATTGTCCTTGTTTAATAGCTTTTATGTTTAGTTTTGATGAATACGTTCGGCTAAGTTATGAATCATTTTTTTTTGCCAACTTTTTTTGCCACTCCTGTCGCTTAGTCGTTTTTGTCGACTCGCTAAATTTTGTGTGTCTTCGTTGTGGGCTTTAACTTAAAACGACTTCTTTTTACTTAAACAGATTCATCAAAAGAGTGTAGCAGGTTTCAAAAAAAGCAAGCACTTAAAACCCATAGTTTGGTGCAATTTGCTCTAAAGTTCGTTGCGCAATTGAAACGCTTCGTTGGCATGATAATTGTTAGTATTTTGGCTCCCGAGTTTCCTTTGATTGCACATTAAGACATGTAGCTGCACATTGGAAATTTATCATCAGCAAGCTGCACATCTCTCATTTTACCCTAAATAGCACTTTAGAGATTCCCAAATATCGCTGTTTTATACTTTATTACCTTTTTATGAGGGTTTTACATCATTCTTTGTTGATCTTGACGCAAAAAATGTAAACATATCCTTTCTGCCGTTAATTTTCGTGCATACAGCTTTCTGAAGTAGTAGACCGAACTCTCTTACCGCCTTGAGACATCAATGATTGCGGTCATATTCTTTAGTCTATTAGTACCCATGCAACATCCGTGCTAGCCATGATGACGTTGTTAGACAAATGAGTTTGGAATTAGTTGCAATGTAAGCGTACAGAAAGCCGTGGAGACCAGTGGCTTGGTGCCTTTGTGAAGGTTGAGTCGCTTGCTAGTGATTGATTGCAACCCTGATGCCCTTTAAATGCTGCTTTTTGTTCGATTAAGTTTGGTATTATTTGGTCAAGGTTATCAATTTCTTTCACAGGAATGCGGACATTCTCTTCTCCATCGCAAGTCATTGGTCAGCTGCAGCGCACAAATTCACATTACTTGCCGGTCTGTATGATAAGCTCACCGTGGCTAGACGAAATCTTGCCCTCTTCCAACATCACGATGCCCTTCCAGGCACCGCAAAATCCCACGTCATGGCGGACTACCACGTCAAGTGAGTTTGCTCTCATCCATCCAAATATCAGAAATCGAGCCATTCCAAACCCATCCATTCGCTTACCTTTCCATCTCGGATCTATCCCTACCCACCTTTCTCACATCCATTCACCTTGGCTCTGTCTATCCCTCTCAGCTTTGCACCTTCCTCCTGCATCCACTTATTCAGTTTTCATTCCTCCAGCTTTTACCCAATCATACGTTCATCTATCTCAAATTCAATCGCTCATCAATTCCGAAATCACAGGCCTATCCATCCTGGCTCTGTGCATCGATATGTGTCTATGTACTTTGGGTAAAACCGAGCATCCATCTTACGAGAAGTGTTCAAGCTCCATTGAGATTTTTCACTCTCCAGGCATGAAAAATGGCATTTCCAGGGTAGTAGTAGGCGAAAAGTGTGGCCAGATTAGATGTTGTGCGAGGATTAACCCAAGCATTATCACTCAAACATGCGTCCCACTGTGCGTGGTGGTGAAGTTTGTGGTCGTAGTGGTTCCCAGCGCACTGCACAGTAGTCATTCCTGTGAGCAATCAGCGCATGGAACGCCTTATCGATGCACAAATCGGCGTCGAGATATTACAAAAGGGCATAATCTTTCTACGAGAACGATGAACGCTGATGTGGTGTGCGCCGCATGGTATGAAAGGGGGGCTGTCCCAGGATGTTTCGGCCGAATGGACACATTTTTTTGTGTCGAAGCTATGCTGAATAAGTGTATTGAAAGGTGAATGTGGTTTAAACTCCTTGTGGGCGGTCCTCACTTTGGTAAACGTTTAAGTAGTTTATTATTAGTGGTTTTTTTAACTTCATTACAGATTAGACGAAGCTATCCGCTGTGCACAGAACGTTTCTGCAGTCAGTGTTGCTTTCCTCCTCGGCTACGAGTCTCCCGAAGTATGCTCCGCTCTTGGACTCGAGGCCTCCACCGGCACTTCATCAGTTCTCATTTCCGCCAATCCGATTTGGGGTACCAATTCCACACCAGAGCTCTTTACTCTCACTCTGGAGCGTCTGGAGGATACTAAAACTCTTTACCTTTTCAATTCCCTCCCCCGTGCCCGTGATCACGTCCTCCGTCTCCGAGTCAATATAACACGTCTTCTGTGGGATGTCAAGCTTCAGGTCAAGCAGCCACAAACCATTTCAATAAGCGTTCAACTTGAGAATGGAATTACTCCGCTTTCCGTTCAGCTAGAACCCTGGGACATCTTCCGAAAGCCTGGTGCTTTGGGCCCTCTGTTCCATCTATCCGCGGGTCCTATCCATTTGGAACCGTTGGAAGTAGTGCGAGTAACGTTGAAGCCCGTGTCTAAGGCCTCACAGAGCCCTGCTGTCATTGTTGTCAAACCAACGCTGTATCGGTTCGTCGAGCTCCCGTAGGTTGCTGGATTTTAGGCATGCATTTTGTAGCTCTTCTGTTGCAATGTTCTACGCGCAAGAGGCGGCGGATTCGCTTGTTCCCAAACTTAAATCCAATCTAATGGAGTTGACCTTCGATAGGGAGACCGGCTTCTCACAGGTAGGAAGGAAATCTTTACGCCTTTTCTGCTAAAGTAACCCCCAAATTCGCTCACCTGTGTATTTGTGAAGGCGGTGTTGAACAAGGGAACGGGAGAATCGCACAAGCTGGCAATTAGCATTGAGATGATGAAGGCTACCTCCGAACCTACCCGTGCGGGAGCCTATATAGGCGCGTCGTTTGCTACCAAGGAGGTTCGTTTGATAAGCCCTGATGCATTACTGATCTCTGCTTTTGTAATTTAAGTTTTGGTTGGTCGAAACTCTCCGTAACTTTTGCTCCAGACGTTTGTTTGGCTATATTGATGCACTGGTAGTCAAGTGTGATAGGATTGGTTACAAATCTGTTGGAAATTTATCTTGAAGGCTGCGTAGTTGATATCAACGAGTCCTTGGTATTGTTAAGCATGCGTGTTGTCAACCCTTCCTTCAACGCTCCAGCGGCAGAAAATTTTCAGGCCAAAGTTTTGGCCATCCATTGCTGTATCATCCAAGTTGAATGGGAAGGGGAGTTTTGTTGAAATATGGAATCTCTTCTGAATACCTCTCTCGGTGGAGGACTTGGCCACCACCTTAGATGTTGGCTGCAAATCATGCTCACTCCTGGGTCGTAAGAGTTAGACGAGAAGGAGGGGGGGGGGGGGGTTGGTCGTAGTGGACCTCGGAGTCTTTTCTGACATCCGTCTCCAATGCCTGCCTGTAAATCTTTGCACTGATTCTACAGTGATTCAAACTCAGATTCACTATGATTGACAGCTAAGGCGATCGGAAGTGGTCATCCCCATGGCATTCATTTTGCCAGTCGGTAAAGAAGGTGATAAAAAAATCAACTTTATTTTCATTCCAGCCTCTGGCTAGGGAGCCCCTCAGCATGCGCGTTCTCCGTGGCTCCTTGACCGAGGAGGTTACGACCTATTATCCTCAGGTGAAACATACCCTTCGTATCCATAAATTAAGTCAGTCTCTCACACTCTATTCCTTCCTTCCTTTGTCCTTCTCTTGTCTTTTACACCGTATTCCTTCTTTCAAGACGCTCCTGGTAATCTTGCCGTGGAAGTGGAGAATATTGCTAATCTAACCGACGTACAGGCAAGCGTTGAACTGGTAATGGTCATTCAAACGGGAATTCAAAACACGAAAGGCATCTTCTTCACCGACTCGAACTGCTATCAGGTAGGGTGATGTGGCTCCACTGGTCAGCTTTAGTGAAGGACTGGGAGGCTATTGCTATGAACGGAATGCCACAGTACCGAGACGGTGATCGAACTCGCTTAAGGCAATGGGCTCTTCTTCTTCCTGATTACTTTTCTGGTTCCCGTGAATGTCTGCCAATAGCTGTGATAGCAGGAGGAGTGTGCGTCGTTAGAAAGACTGTCATCTATTCCATAGGTGTCGTTGCGACTTTTGAATGCCACGTCCTCCGGAAGGATTGATTGAAAGATTGGGCTGAAGGCTGAACACGCCCCTGTGTCGGGCGTAGCCTATCTGCTGATCACTTTCCTTACGAGCGTTTGTCGACTGGCTGAACGATAGCACAAGCTTTGAGACGCTCTAGGAGGCTTAGAAATTAGGCACAAGAATGAAATTTATAGGGACTTCAACCACAGCTTGAAACGGGAATAGTCCTTCTGTTACCTCGAATCTCCGCAAATCCATGTCCACTCGGAATCATCCACTTTGTAGATGATCCAACGGAAGTACTACGCAAAAATTCGCCAATGGGGCAACATCTATCCCATGACCTGCGCAGCCTACATTGAGGACGGCCAACATCGTGTCACTCTCCTATCAGGTCAGTCAGTTGGCGTATTGGCTGGTGAAAACCCGGGCGAAATCAAAGTCTGGCTAGATCGAAAAGTTCTGTCCGATGATCATCGCGGACTGAACGAGCCCTTAATTAATGTCAAACCAAGTCGTTCAGTCTTCAGTATTCTCGTGGAACGCATGTCGCAGCCCGTTGAAGCTCTTCGGGGCGGTGTTGCATTTGTGGTTGGTTTTTCATCTTACTTGACTGCCATTTTGGAACACTCAAATTTGAATGGACTTTTTATGCGCTCTTTTAATTTGCTTCCAAGCCTAGTCTCACCGCAGAAGCACACTATGTCCAGAGTGATCTGACCTTCCCTGCGGCCCAATTTTTAACCAACTTTGACCCATCTCGATTGGTCGTCAACCGACAGTTGATGGAGTCGACGGGACTTCCCTGTGACTGTGATCTGGTCACACTGAAGACGTTCTTCAGTAAATCGGAGCGATATAATGGTAGGTTCAGACTTCCAGCTGACTAGATCTTTGTTTTTCAAAACAAAAGATGACTTGTAGCAGGTAGGTGTTTAGAGAGCCAAATGCTTGCCTCGAAACCCAGAAGGGGTAGTTCCGGTTTCCTCACCCGCCTCGCAACCAATTAGGTTACTGGTTTACCAATTGATTCGATAAAACAAATCAAGGCGCTATTTGAATAAGAGTTGTTTGGGTAATTAGATTAAAAGAGGGAGTAGAAGAAAGCACGAACCACTCTACCCACCACCGGTGAAGTTTGTTCTAATCTAGGAGTTACAGAACTGCGATTTTAGTGGACCACTCGAGACGTCAGTGTGTCGGATTCTTTTGACAACAGTGTTGTCCCATTGTCAGGTAAGCACAAATGGAGGCGTGTGTTTATTTTCAAGGCTGGGAAGGGTTGGGAGGGGGTTGTATGTTTGTATGGCGCTTTCTTTCGCCATCTCCAGTACAGATTCCCACTGCTGGCTGGTTGCATTGTCTGTTCTTAGTCAGCAAATGTTGGTGACACTTGGATGAGCAGACATTGACGCGGCACACGTAGTCTCATTTCTCTTTGGTGTGTCAGTCTTAGCGCTTCTTAGTGTCACTTATTCTCACATTTGTGCAGGACTTAGCAGCGTGCCGGGCAGCCAACTGGGTGTGATCCTTCATCGTACCGTACATGCGTGTGGCGCAACCTACCTTTGCGATTCGGCCTGCGATTGCTCCCCTCAGGATGAATCTTCGGTTCGTTCGTTGTTGATTTTTTTTTCGCGTAATCCTGCTTTTTACCTCTTTTGTGAACCTTCAAAAGTAAAGGCTTGAATAAAATCTAGTTATAAAGGTCTGTATAAGCTTATAGTTTCGTGCTGTGTAAATCGACATTTACACAGCTTTTCCTGTCAGTTTTACAGACAAATCAGGAAGTGGCTTCATTGTAAGCCTGCTGAATAGTTGATAGACAGTGTGGGAGTAGTTTCATACTCCTGTCAAAAAGCCGAAATCTACCATCACTTTCTGCACTCCCTATTGTCAGTCATTGCGATGGTGCTCAAGCGCCTTGAAGTGGAGAGTGGCAGCCAGAAACGAAGGTTGAGTAACAAAAACACGTCTTTTCCATAGACTTTGAAGGCTTTCATCTTCCACACCATCTGTTGGTAGATTGCGTTGAGGGATTGAAGAGATTTTGGAGTTGCATACCTCCCCTAAAAGTGCGATTTTAATAGCTCCTTAACTGACAATGTCTGCAAGCTCCACCCTCCGCACACGAAGTTCTTCTCTCATAGAAGTATCAAATTGACTCGTTTTAAGGCATTGGCTAGCGTGAGTTCACAGGGTTTGGAGAGACCTTCTGAGGTGTGTATGGAAATGGTGGTAGAACTCAATGCCATCATTGCGAGGGCCAAACGATGTAAAGGCTCGCAAAGGTACAACCTTGCTGTGACTCACTCTTTACAAGACTTTCTGCTTTCTGGATGAAAAAGAAAGCCTGGTCATAGGCGCCCCTATTTCCATCTTACTCATTCCCCCCTATTGTATCTTCCCCATCTAAAATATCGGGCAAACACGACAGATGGGGATGCGGCAGGCTGCCGCTTTTTTCACAAATCAGCTTTGTAGGGTATCGTGTTGTATTTGTAGTTTGACCTACACGAAGTGAACAGTTCCCTCCGGAGTTGAAGTGGTGATTCGTATCGGAGAAGTGGGCAGGTAAGAGGTGCGAGAGTTATTTGTTCGCCTACCGAAGATTGGAACTTTAAAAACTCGGCGGCATCACGAGTTAATGCACGCCTCTCCTAACCAAATTATGTTATCAATCTCTTTGACGTCTTAAGTTTGAGCTATTTTGACGTGCTTATGGCAGACGCAACGTAGACGCGTCTTTGCGTAGTCATTGCTGTAAGAACTCATTTATGGGCAGCACGTTGTTCATCCGCTGCACCTTCCTCTCAAGCTAAGCAAAAGACTTGACGAGGACATTTTCGCGACCTTGAAAAAGTGTCAAATTCACCTACCCTAGCAGACAGATGCTGTTTAAATGCATAAGATGCACCTTCGAGTGCTGTGATATCTTAATTTAGTGGACAGTTTCGCTTCTATGTGAGATTTGAATCCTGCGTGGAGAGCAGCTACAGTTAGACGAGGCCGAGCACCTCCTTTTTGAGCAACCGATGTGCGGCGCCTTCCCCTCTCTCTGCCTTCGCGATTGGGCGGCCTAGTGCGTCTTTTATTTTTCTTTCCCCTCTATTTCTTGTCATCCTTCAGATTCGATGGTCTCTCGCCTTTCCCCAGCTGATCCCCAAAATGGCTGTGAGGACACCAGTGACGCTGATTCCCGACAAGTCGACTTCCGCGTCACCCGATCTGAATATCGTTATCCCGAGGATGGAGATGGAGGGCTTCCTTCTGGTGCCTTCCAAAACCTAGGTCGCTGCCAATTAAGGCGGAACAAATAGCAGCATCCTGTCTTTCTCCGGTACAAATAAGGGTGTGAGGATAAAACACCAGCAAAACTTGGTTTCTCTTTTTTCTGCACTATTGCTTTCTTTTTGTGATGCTTATAGAATATTTAAAGCACTAGAGTCTTCCATTTGGGAGGCCTCTTTAATGAGATCGCTTTTGTAAACGAAATTTGGTGTGTGCGTGTCTTAATGCACATTGGAGAAGACTAGGGGGTTGATGCGTGTGAGTCCACGGCATCCTCATCCGACCTGAGGGCAATATTTGGACAACGTGTGTGCCCCCATCTGTTGGTGGTGGGTCGTAAACGAATTGCCTGTGTTTGAACTACCTCGTCGATGCTTTCGATCTGCGAGGGAGAAGATTGCTGAGGCTTTGAGTGCTACTTGCCATGTTCAAAGAATGATGACTGTGGTGGACGGTGGTTGTCCAGGCTACCACGCAAGCATGCAAGCTCGTCGCACGGAAAGATGTAGTATCAGAACACGACCTGTAGATAAGGCTGAGCCTTTAGTGCTAAAGTAGGGACTGTCATACCCATGGAAGTGAGCGACAGGTGCGCGATGGTCATGGACTTGCGTAGGCATCATCGGAGTCACGATGTCACCGGCGGTGAGGGCTTGCACAGAATAGCGGGCGGTGAAATCGGTACAAGAAACTTCAAGTATAGGAGAAAATGAAAGTTGGAGCAGTATTTTACCACTTTAATGGTGTCAACGCTTCAGAGGCAACCCTTCCCCCCTTCCACATCGCACATTTCCAGCAGCGTTCGGTCAGGTCAAGTTCATTGATCGCATGTGATTCCACCATGTCCTAATTCCACTGACCCGCCCTCGCAGCTGTGTGGCTAACGAAAAGATTGAGAATGGTACTAGCGGTAAACCAATGTTGAAGTTCAAGATAAATTTAAACATTTGAGTTCCCCTATTTCGGAGGTAGGGTAACCGCTATAAGGCTTCCGCGCTGCTGATCCATTCTGGGCCAGCCTGTTTCGATTCCACTTCAGCTTAAGGCGGAAAGCTGTATGGGTACCCAGGGTTTGTCGACACTCGAAAAGTGGAACTATCCACCTCTGGTGCGCACTCACAGTAGATTTAGGGTCCGCTAGGCTTGCGATAGAAATGACTGTAGCCAGAAGTGCCACTGCTAGACTTACAGTTGACCTAATTTAAGGCACTTACACCATTTGAATGATTGACTGACTGACTGGCACGATGGTAACAGAGGCTGAAAGCGCTCTACAGTAAGCAAGTGATGTGGAAAAAGCTGATTTGTTTTTATTAAACAAGTTCTGTAGAATTTTTTGGCAGATGTGTCAGCACTCCTGCTTAGTGCAGGACCACAAATCAGATGACAAGCACAGTCTAAACTCTTTTTTTTTCCAGTCGACAAGACACGCAATATAATTGGTTGATCCACACCTTTAACAGGTCTCCAATTTTATACCTTATCAATAAAGTAGATTTTAAGCTACAGCTGCTTTTATTTTATCATTGTCTATTTTGGTTCTTCACACAATTGGTTCGTCTCTAGGTCAAAACCCCGGTATTGCGAAACGAACACTTCATCCATGATTTTGCAGGAGTATTTCCGAAATAGATCCAGATGGGCAATTCAAAGTTGCATCGTCTATTAAAGAACCTATGATCAACGGTGACTAAAGTACTGTGGTGTACCATTGCGCTTTGTTTAGCAACGACGAAATTAGAGCTCAGATCGTGGAGCGCATCACATAGACACAAACGTTGGGTGGTTGTGTACTTTCAGGTAGGGTCAAATAACTACTCCACTCAATCTGCACGGCTTTGCTAATGTACTTTTGCTATTCATGGTGGTATTTTCATATCAACTTCACGTATCTGTTTACTGCTCTTTCATTTCACCTTATCATGATTAAAAAACAGTTATTTTTCGTTCTACTTTCGACGAGAAAAGGGAGATTAGGTCCCTGATTGACGTACAAGTGTCATTTTTGGCCAGATGTAGAGGCATTTAAGTTAGGGTGGTGATACGTCGAAGGATGTGGGTTGATAGGGAGCTAAGGCGTTTGGCCAGCAGAGACTGCCGGAGCCATAGAGTGGTGCCTATCTCGCATATCTAAAGTATTTGACTGACTACGGCCTACGGAGGGACTAAACAAGTGTCCAACATTCTGGAATGTTTGCCAATTTTCTATAAGCCTAGACATTAATGGAACACCGACTCATGAATATTTTTAGGGACTGCAGGCATCGTTCTGGCTCAGCTAATGTCCGTGATCACACATAGGGATTAATGGCATGTAGCAATCATTTGCTATGGTGGGGGGGACGGTAGCTTCATACAAAACGCCAATACTACACCCCAAACCGCTAGATTTGACTAGACGTTTTGAATAAGCGTTGATGCTTTTCTAAAGATGAGTGCGTAGGACAGTTGATTCCACACCTTTTAAAACACTCCCTCAACTCAGTGCAGCATCCAGTCAAACTGTGCTGATTAAAAGTTCACAGTTGACTTGGTACTTCGCATGCACTAACTTTCCGGAGTTGCGATTATTAGCAAACACGTTCCTTTTACTTCGTGACGGATGAAGATACTCAGGATAATTTTATCGGCGCATAGAATTCTTATGCGATTGATTGCTGTTCTGTGAAGTGGATCCACTAGGATAGGTGTCAACACCGATAGGCGTACGTCTAGCTGTTTTTGACATCACCTAAATATATTTCTGTTGCGCTGCTGCGTGTTTGTTGCTGAATTGCACACGGTGCCTTCTGCAGATGCAAGTAGACATCGACGGATTCGTTCTGGGACTTCGTCCTCCCCGGGCGGTTCCCTTCTTACACTCACTAGCACTGTTGTTTGCTATTTTGATTAATGAAGTGCTTACTTTTTATGTACAACATTCCACAGATCCTATTCCAACACAATATCTAATTTAAACATTACAACAAAATCCAATGGGAGCACTTTGTCTACTGAAATGGTAATAAGTAGATGCACTAAACTGACATCGAGAACTTGAGTGATATACGCATTTCTTGAGTTTATAATGCGTAAGCACAGTTAATCAAGCAAAATTAACTTTTTTACTTGATCTCATTAAAATACAGTGCCAATAATTGGTCCCAAAAGCTTGTTTAATCACGCAATTAATTAACAATTGAGGAGCCAGTGTCTACCAGTTTACAGCCCAATGGGGTCGTATAAAGCAAAGGGAAATTTTTAAGGCAAAAAGGATAAAATTGAGAATATACTTTCAAAAATTACCATGCTTGTTGAGACTTTACTTCAGAACGTCATTTGTCAGACGATGTGACTGGTTCATCACAAGCGCAGGCGATCCTCAGTCTCAGCAACTTCGTGGGTTCTCACTTGACACAGTGCACCTGACCCAACTTGTACCTCTCATGAGCTGAGACGACGCTGCTACTTCACGCATTTCATGCTTCCTGCGCTTTTATGGTTTTGCAATTTGAGTTTGTTTGAATACACCTTTTTAATATCAAGCGGGCAGACTAAAACGACCCTGTGACTGGGGAAACATTACTGATGCCCAAGGGCGAAGGCTAAGGCAAACTCCAATTCGCTGATTGTTATACCGGGTTCCATCACTACGCAATGCCTTCTGCTAACCACTCTTCTAGATTCATATACCTGAAATCGGAGGCCGAGGGAAGAAGAGATGAAACTGAACTATTGCATTCCTCATGCCTCATAGTAGTGCCTGCGGGTAAACGTGGGCAGTGATGTGTTTCCAAACCATCTTCCAAGTCTTGCAACGTATACTGCAGATAAATTTGCGAAGCACTTGTCGATTGGGATAATTTTATAGGAGTGGCTAAATGTTTTATCCATGGTTCAACTTACCCACCAATCTCATAGCATGCTTCGATTTGGGGATTTGACAGATTAGTTGCACACATTACACCGTTTCCTCTGATAAGGACAAAAGCCTCCTTAGCTCTGGCCACCTGCCCAATTGTCTCAGCTTCTTTTCTCAAATATGTCGTCTATTTTGCAATTGGTCGTGTGATTGGTGAATGTGAATATGAGGAAGAGATGACGAACATCGGTTGAAGAAGTAAGATTGGGGGGGGGGGAGTATGGAGGAGGGTGATGTGACAGCAACAACCTCTCCATTATTTTTACATGAAGCCCAAATCTCACTAGCCTCGACAGCTTTTGCGAGGGCACTTCCATGTGTCCACGCTCGACCTGCACCACAGTGGGTAGGTGGTTGTCAGGCCTACTTGTGCTTTGGTCTTCACTCTAAACACCTACATAAGCACTTGAAAAGGAAAAAAAGTCGTCTTTCATTATGTATGAGTAGGCGAACACCCAGAAAGGAATTGTGAAGGAAGTGAAGTGGAAACCGCAGGACATGTGAGGTTTTAAAAATCCTCTTTTGTTGGAGGTGCCAAACATCTGCTTAACCACATCTCTCAGGGGATGATTCATCCACCTTCTGAGACAAAACAGCTTCAGCACTTGTGCAAATCCACCTCTCTGCTGACACCGCTTATCAGAGAGGGTCCTATCAGTGATACTGACAGTGGCCTGTAATTCGCGGACTTATGCCATTCTGGTGTGTGTTCGCCTCGTTTATTTCTATCTCTCCTTGCCCATCGCTGTTCAAAATCCCCACTTTAGTTGCCTTAGTGGATCTTTTACACAGAAAATATCATCGCGTCTTGCCCTCTCCTTCTTCTTTTCAATAACCTCTCCCTCTGTGTGTCTGTGCCTGTGAGAGACAGATTTTTCTACCTTGAAGACCTTTAAAGGGTCTTTCAATTATTGCACTACACCAAGTGATGAGAGAAAAGTTGGCTAGATAAAAGAGAGAATGAATGGATGGTTGAATACGTGGTGGATACAGAATGGATGGATGGCTGGTTGAAATCCAGATGGATGAATAGTTGGATGGATGAATGAATGATTTAATGCATCCAAATTGAACATAGCAATGCCTAAAATGATGAAACAGGTCTGAAGCTAAAGAAATGATGACCTCTTCAAGCAGATTACCATTTACAATCTTTGGCACAAAGCGACCCATTTTCAGCTCGTCAAAGTGTCCCCACACCTGGATGAGTTCCGTCACTGCCAAATGTCAAGCGGGACAGTCAACCCATACTTTCTAATGTTAGCAACAAATTTTTGTCGATACTACTTATATAGATGCCATTGGTCAGGAGGTAATGGCGCACACCTGCTTTCATGTGTATCCATACTGGCTACCTCCTCACCCAATAGAATCGCGGTGCAGATCATTTAAAGTGGTCACACTTCAATCTCGTGGCAAGAATGTGGCACCTCTACGGTCTTCTCGTATTCGAATTGCTAGTGATGTTGCCATCGGATGCAAAAGGGGCCTATGTGTAAGTCAATTTTCTTTTCGAAGGTTATTTAGAATGCTGTTATGCCAAAGACCTCAAAATTTTCCGTTTTTAAGCAAAATTGCCTCAAAAGTTCTTAGAAGGATGAAATCAATCCTCCATAATCCTCTTCTAGAAAGGTGGTTGTACATTTAGATGGGAGACCATCTCTTAGTTCTTGGCATATTACTTCCACTGCCTTAGTGGATCCCACCCTTCGAGTAAATTCATGTAGGTGTAAGCTCATTGGTTTGTCATCTCTCCTGTCCACTTGGAAGTAATCCACCGTGGTTATAGCGATAAAAGCATCCTTTGTCGTCGAAATCCAGATAGCACCCTCTTTAAATGCCGTTGAACGTATTTGACAAGGTGCTAGCTCCTGTAGCTTTGATATCAAGGCAAATTTGTCTCGTAAAACTGACTACCTGACATCTGGCAGTTTATGATGTGAAGAATTAGTGTGTGGATCTGTAAAGACTAACTGGTCCACCACCCGAAGTACTCTACTCCTCACAGCATAAGTAAACAATGGCGCGTCCATTACAGATCCCTAAATGTTGTACTAAGTCATTGTGTTGTGGTGCACAAATAACCTCACAAAAGCAATGACATCCTTAATGCAGTTCCTTCTTCTCCCCACTTTAGAGATCAAGAGCTGATCAATTTAGCGAGTAGGATATGGGACGCGGATCCGCATCGACTTCAAGTTGGAAAAGACCTAAAGCTGGATTGGCAAGGTAAGAAGCTTTTGGAGTGGCATTTAGGGGCTAGTAGTTGAGGATATTAGCCTAGTGTTTGAGGTCTCAAGTCATCCTTGAAATTGTCAGATGTCATAGCGGTGCGGAGGTATAAAAAGACCGAAACCCCTAGTCGTGATCGGTCACAAGCAACTGACAACATCTCTTACCCTATTCTTCCATCTTGGACGCCCTTCCAAGGGTCACTCCGCTGCTTTGGGTGTTGAGACACAATTAGTCCCTTAAAACCACCCACGAGCCAAAAATCATAGCCCTTGATTATTCCAATGCCATCATTGCTGTTCCTTGGTAACCTTTCTCCCTTCCACAGCGAGCTGCATTAAGGAGGGAAAAATCAAGGCTGTAGAAGCCGTTAAAATTACTTCACGAACTCCGACATAACAAGCCAACCAGCCCTACGGTGGGTGATTTGACCAATTTCGAGTCTGTCACCGACCCAGATCTTAACTGCTCCCTTTCGCAGATTGCAAGAAGTGGCTGTGACTTCAACAATCCTAATGTCATTAATCTTTACTCGGTCAAGCATTCATGGCGAATGCCTTCCTTTCGGGAGATCTGAGCTCGGCTATCACGACCAGAAATTGGGGGAGTGATCCTTGCTGGCTAAGGTTTACCCACAGCTAGCTCTGTTACAGCTTCCTGAGAGTGTGTGGTGGGGAAGCTGCACAATCGAGGGTTTTGAGCGCAGACTAAAGTGCCGGCGTAATTAAATAAATTGTTAAACAAGTATTGGGGCACTACAAGTCCTTGTCACTTCTTATGTACTTTTTATTTCTTTTTGGGTCCAGGCATAGTTGGCGAAAACGACGCAGGACGTGATGTTGCTCCCAAGCCGTTGTTTAGCGTTAACACGCAGGGTTTCAAAAATAATCCAGTTGTTGACTGTAAGTTCAACTTTTTCATACTTTGTATCATTTTTTTTCCAGAAAACTCTCAACTCTTGCTTAGCAACGGAGAGAAGTTTAAGAGTAGCTGAAAATGGAAAAATTTAGGTTTCATTTCTTTTTGAAATAAAAGCCTCTAACATTAGGTGTAAAATAGGTAAATTTAAAATAGAGCACAAGAAACAAATTTAAGCTGCTGCCACTTTATGCGAAGACAGGTACCGAAAACTGTCGGGATTTTGACGACTATTTCAAATGGGGTTGCTTGGTTGCTTTAGCATTTATCGCGCTGCTGGACAACTACGAGCATCGTATTGGCTTCTCCGAGGTGGAAACACTGGAAAAGAAGGCAGAGATCCAAAGATTTTTAGACGCAGTTCTGAGAACACCAACAATGCGAAGCTTTCACACCTACTTGTGGAACCTCAAACTTGCTAGCCCAAAGCTGTCCGAATTTAAGAAAGAATTGCATGACATTTGGTTCAAACCCTATAAAAGAGTTAGGTAAGTGAGTCATTACAAATGCTGCAATGACAAGCCTTCAGTATTGAGGCCTAACTTCCATTATATAAGGTCCAAGGCTCTGGCGTTTATTCACTTATTCATTATTAGTTAGAAAATATAGTCAATTAGTTGGTGGCAAAGTCCTCTTTGGTTTCAGGACATTAAGGGCGAGATAAATTTGGTTCATGCAGAGGCCACTGTCAAAACACGTTAAATAAAACAACGCATTTTATGGATAGAATGACGCACATTCATGATTTATAACCCAAATAGATAAACAAATGGGGGCGGTTTACATCAACGCGCAATTTAAAATAGGTGGAACAGCGAGCTCCGCCGAGAATGTTGGAGGGAAATAGATCCTAGTATTTCATGGTAGGAGAAGAATAGAAAACATCACCAGCCACTAATGTTTCCTGTTTGTGTACGTCCTTTAAAAACGAGTAATAGTTACTAGGTAAATGAGAGAATAATGGCTCATAAGAAGATGGAACAATGCCTTCATTTAAGTAAAGTAGTCTATGGAAACATGGGTTTCGATGCGGCTAACTATGTCGAAATCCGGCACTAAAATTTCAACTCTTTTCGCCTACTTTTATGTCAAAAGGAGTGGTGATTCTTCCCCTTTCGAACACGTCTTTGTTGGTGAGACGAAACAAAAAAATGTTATAGGAATGCACAACTGGATTACTTTCTATTTGAACGAGAAGGAGGGAATCATCGACTACTACGGGTACGGCCGTCCGGTAAGTTGCCCAGGAGTTCTTTTCAGCCCATTCGATCTGGAGATTTTTTTGGTTCATGTATTAGCTCATGTCTTGTACAAAAAATACGCAACCTTGAACGAGAACAACCAATAGCAAATTCAAATAATATAAACAAGATGTGGAAACAGTTTTAACTTTTAAATCCTGCATTTAATTTGCCACTTGTTACTTAAAATTATTCCAGTGGTTTGTTGCAGATAGCACTGAATTTTCTGCAAACAAAAAGTGTTAGAAGCATCTTTGAAATGGTAAAGTTTATTTTCATTTTGTGCGTTTTAAGGACATTTGACGTAGCGCTTGCTGAGAGAACTTCATGTTACAATGTGGGCGGACATCTGTTGGAGACAGAGTTATTGGGTGGTTAAATGCACGGATGAGAGAAATATTTAGTCATGACATATTGTGGCACTTCCAGACTTCCCTGAAGAGGAAAGAAGATAATGCTCGGGCAGAATATACGTATTTGACATGAAAAGGTATATAACCTACTGGCATGGCCCGAAGGCCAGCCCACCTGACTTGATACAAAGGCCAAGTCAAAAGTGGCTGTTCACCACAACCGAGAGTTAAACAACCATCGTAATACATAGCTCCTCTCTTCTTTTGAGCGCTCTCCTTGGTCAACCCCCCGCATCAGCCATCACAACGTAGTCGGTGCTCCAAGCAAACACCCACGAGTCGGTCGTGCCAGTCGTCAAATTAGCGTGCAACTGAGGAGATACTTGACCGCAACGTCACATATCCCTCCTGGCAATTCTACTGGGACTAGAGCCTCGTCCCTTTTGGAAATTGGGTCCAGGAACTGGCAATTGTGCTGACATTATGCGCGTCCATATATAGACTTAGAGCACTGACCTTAAAGCAGAATTGTGTAAGGAAGGAATGGATTTAACATAGGTCCGTAAGAGAAGGTTTTCGCTTCTGTTCCTCCTTGCCACGTCGTGCTCACTTCGGAGCTTCCCAGCCATATCTCTCCGGTCTGTCCTCGGCTAGCACAGAAATGTAGGCGGTATAGCGAGTTCACTTTATCAACGGCTTTATGCAGGTATGGTAGGAAGCATTCAGACTGTTCGCTGCCATTGTCTCTTGAGATGTTAGTAGCTTTCCGGCAGGCCACGGGACAAGGGTAGATGACGAAGGCAAATGTCAACTTCAGCCCTTCTATCTGGGGTCATCACCAATCTCCAATCCGTAGCATATGTACTTTTTTCCACCCCGCTAATATTTATCACGCAGCAGTAAACATCAGGACAGATGTCCTTTAGGATCGGGTTCGCTTTCCGCTGCCACCAACATTGTAATTCGAGACTTCCCTGAGGAAAGAAGACATAATACTAGGATAGAATATATATATTCGGCATACAGAAGACACAAGGGCTATTGGTATGGCCCGAAAGCCAGCCCACCCGATGTGGCACAGTGGCCAAGTCAAAAGAGGCTCTTCACAAAGAGAGAGAGTTAAGCACCATCGTATTACAATATATTGCTCGACCTGACTAGGTCAAATATGTGGGTTGCTTCTTAATATACTGGGTAGTATTTAAAAATGAAATTAATTCATTTATCCACTTAGCCAATTTTCCTGATGGAAGGAGTAAGGCAAAGACAAAATTGTCGTAAAATGAACGCAATGCTTGTGTCTGTTATAAATAAGGCAATTCAAAACGTTCACACGATATCGAAACCCCTTTCACCAGGACACAAGTTTGCTCGGAATTTCCCATTCCTAGAAAGTACGCCTGCGGGAAGTCAGCAGTCTTTCAGTCTGGGGCCAGCCACCTCCTATTCTACTTCATGTCTCTTCTATTTCACATGAGCTAACGTAATTATTAAACAGTGATATCATGCAAAGAAACATGAATTAAAGGGAAAGGAAGGTGAGTATGAGACAGCTCACTCACCATACCATCTCAAGGGAAAGTTACGATCTGGAAACTGGCTGGATCCATGATGGTGTTGTATATCACTAAAGGTGAATTGTTGAGGCTACCTTCGGGTGTTGGGTTTCACAGCTGTGCCTTCTCCATGCACCATACAGATCTTACGAAATACCGAGTGATCAGGCGAAATGGGCAAATCTAAATTACGTCCTTCAATCCCAGCCAAGTTGTGTGGATTTAAGTTCTTAAGGAAGGGAAAATACAAAAAGGTTAGCTCGATGCAAATTTACGCTTTAAAATACGTAAATAGTGTTGACGACAGGTGGGAGTCCTGAGCAAAATCCGCACAAATTGTTGATCTCTTGGCATTGTAGTCAAACCGTATCCTTGTCGGATAACTCGACTGAACTGCAGGCTAAAATAAACAGAGGGATTTAAAATCTGATAACCCCTTTTCTTTTTTTCGACCACAACAATAGCAATTTGCCTTTAATCCTCCCTTTTTTAGAAGTCTGAAGATCCCGATTTTAAGCGCACCCTTCGGTTCGGCATGTATGATACCTTCGAAAAACCTCACAGCACAATCCTCTTTGGATCCTCGGTGGAGTTCGAATTTGGCCTCTACACTACAGTCTTTCTAAAGGCAAGAGAACTCTTTAAAAACAAACAAGATTGGCCGCCTTTCCTTCTCAATTTGGAAGGCAAACAAGTGCTTGTACAATGCCATGGGAAGAATAAAAATCGGATGGGCTCTTGCTACTTCAAGTAGACAGGAAACACATACCAATCAGTACTGCTTTAAGTTGGCTACCTTTATTTGACTTTTAGTTTGTTTTTTTTCCCAAGCTCCTGGTGTTCAGGATACAGTAGAACCAACTGACTACATAATTTGCCATTTTGTTCTCTCATTATCTTGAGGTAGGATCATGGCCTTAGTAGACGAAGACTGAATAGGGATCCAAGACACACCGTTTGTCTCCAGAAGAGGAAAATTCCTTTTCGTGGGTACCTGTCAACTGTCGGGATTGAATGGACAGCTGAGAAATGCATGACAGCTTGACGCCCACCCTATCTGGCTTGCAAATATTTTCAGTTCTGTGGTTTGCTAATCTACTTATCTCTTAAGGTCAAGTTGAGGTCATTGTTGTAGGGGCTTTCAGCCGCGTCAAACCAGGAGAGGCCTCGAATGAACAAGTGTGCTCTGTCAGTAATGAGCTGGCTTTAAAAGGGCCTAAAAGCGGGTATTCGTGTTGGGTCAAGGGGTTCATTCTGGCTTTCAAGCAAGTTGACCTAACAGACAGACATGTGTCAGTCAAATTGAAAAGGTTACTTTGTTACCATCTCAACGTATATGCTGAAAGAAATTAAGCTCCAAAGATGCTGGGAGACCTGCCACATCATTTGGAGGGGATAAGGTTTGATCCCGGTAAAAATTACGTACAAGTAAATCCCTCCGTTTGTGCTAATAAAGCATGTTTAGGCAGCATGTGGGGGACAATTTGTGGCAACGTTTACGGTGAGAGACGGAACGACTGGATGGTGCCCATCTCGAGCATGAGGGGGAGGCCGTGGTAAGAGCCAGTGATGGTACAATTTTAACCCACTTACTCGTCCGTCCTCCCACTCACCCAACCACCAACACAAACACACCAGCTAATGACAGTTAAATTCAAAGGCTTTCAAATTGCTTTGTTTTTTTCTGGATTTGTTAACGCAAAACTCCATTTGGAAGTTTTTATTGCTTCAATATAGCAGTAACTTGCAGGATAAAATTTTCTGGAAAATCTGCAAACTACAATCTCCAAAGAAGGAACTGATGGTGTCTTACATCAGTTAGGCTTCTTCGTTACAGTTTTTTGGTTAGTGGAGTGACCTCCATATACCAAAAATTTACTTTTCTGTATACAGACTAACTTCCATATTTCACTGAATCTGTCGCAATATTTCAGACCATACGGCTGTTTCTTAGTATTTCTAGTGCAAAAATTTAAATACTTCGCATCTTTACAGAATTTCCATTTACTAATGCAGCATTCACTGCTTTTAATAGTTTCAAGACCCGGCAAATTAACGAGGAACCGGCAAAATGCCTCTTTTTTAGAAAAACAAATATTTGGCTATATATAAAAAAACATGTAGATGGGTTAGGCTTCTATTACCAAAGCAGTGTTTAAATCATCGTATGGTCATGTGCTGCCATGGCAAATTCTAACCACATGTTTGACAACCTTCAGTAGTCGTCATGTGATCCTCATTAATTCTCGTACTAACTACCGACTTTTATTTGTACGCAAAAAATATAACCAGTCATGTTCTAACGAAGAATAACTAGGTATAAAAGCCGAGTGCGTGTGAGTCCTTTCAATGTATTTTTGCACATTTTGCTTAATGATGACTCCCAAAACATATATCATGCTATTATAACATTATTGTCGTCTTTAGCCAAATACTTGGACATAATAAAAGGGGTAAAAGTATTTTTACATCTAAAGCCTTCAGCGAGGTTCAATTTATCGAGCCACAAACCTCCTTACCATGGTGGGGTTTTAAATCCATGCGTTGAGAGTTAGCGGCCAAAGAAGAAAGAAATAAGAGTAAAGATGAAGTAAGCTCGTTGATCACTCTTTTGAACAAAACATTTGACTTGGGGCAACAGGGGTGGGGGCGGGAGCGTGGGAGAGAAGAAATGAGGTGGGCTCCTATCAAACAGCAGAACAGGTGAAGCCGATGGCTCTGAACAGGGACATCCCAAGCAGCTAATCAAATGAGCAAACAAACCGACAAAATAAAAGCATAAGGAGAAGAAAAGTGGGGAGAGGAGCAGAGATTTCCACATTTTTAGACGTATGAGACTCAGTGAAATTTTCGTATTTGACATCACCATCATTATCGTCATTTTATAAACACGGGCATGAAATATGTTCAGACGCGGTGAATTGAGAATCACATTATGAGAGAGAGAGAGAGGTGAAATCAACCGGTCTGTCATACATTCAATCAATGGAGACGCGAAAGACATTAACGAAAAAGAACGGTGAGAGGAGGGAAATGAAGCAACACGAATGAGGGGAGGGAGGGATGGAGTGGGCCTTACTTCCCCCTGTCCGTTAATCCTCATTTCCTGAAGGGACTGCAGAGTTAGCCTTTTCAAGTGCACTGCGGGCACCAGCTTGCATTATCCAATCTGGAGGTGCAATAGCTTGAAGCAAGGCCGAAAGGTGCACCTTCGTAGTGACTAATTTGGAGAGATTTTCCATGCAAGCGTTTATTGTAGCCTCTAGGGAGTCCGCGTGATCACTATGCAGCTCCAGGAGCACTTTTTTAACATTCCAGTCACCTTCAGAGTCAGCAATACGAAAGATAACCAGACAATTAGCTGGTGAGCAGAGGAGAGTGATCTCCGCAGGATCCAAATTTAGGAAGGCCTTCTCCCCACCTTTCAAATTGTGCGAAAGCTTCGAGGAACACTGATCAATTGAAAGAAGAACTGCTAGTGCGATGCTGGGATGAATGTCACAGGAAGGGTTTTCAGATACGGTGAGCTCTTGAAGTACGTCGGAGAGTCGAATTATCGCTAAAGCAGGATGGAAGGCGGTCTCAGTATCAGTGGGGGATTCAAATAGAAGTAATGTTGAAGGAGTCCCTAAGTGGCTCTCATTGATCCATGTGGACAATAGTGCATCAATTGTGGCTTCTGGATAGATTATGCTTCCGACGGAGTATTGGATTGGCGGCTGCAAGAGTGAAGGAAAGTGTTTTACAATTAAACTTCTAGATAACAAGACTCCAGGACTCCAGTAACTTTTAGTAATTTCATAGAAAGTACTCACCAATTTTACATAGTCAAGCTGCTTCGAGGGATCGTGATACACTTCCAGTGAGCTATATCCTGCCAAAGTGCCACGCTTGAACCATCCAGCCTCACTGAGATCACCGCACTGCCAATGGAAACCTGCAAACTCCCCTTGCAGATCTACGGATTTTAATCGAGCACAGGCGGCAGTGTACTCCAGGAGGCATTTGTTCACCAGCTTCTCGGAGGCCGATTCCTCACCTTCTAGCCTCATGGACCACAGTTTGTGGGAATGGGAAAACGCGAAGATTGAGGATTTGCCTTCGTCAGGAGTTTTAGCCTCTTCCGCGATTTGGTATCCCAACAGGGGCAAGGAAAGTTCATTGCCAGGAGATGATGCCATTTGGGGACTCTGGCGGCAAAGAAGGCAAGTAAACTCTTAGGGCAGCTGTGGCAGCAGTAAGTGGATGTGAGCGGCAAATCACACTAATCGGAAAAATTTGTTTCTCGGAGGATGATGAAGCAAATGTACAAAGGCAAGCAGAGAAAGTACAGCCAGCAGATCAAGCCATTTTTACAGGGCAGCAAGTGCGGCGATGGAAATAACATTTGGGAAATCGAAATAGCGGCAAGGGTGGCAAAACAAAGGTAGTAGTTTTTGACAGTTAATAGTTTACTCTCCATCTGGGATCGAGGTAGAGTATCCACCTCTCCCGTGACCTTAAACAAAGAGCAGGCAAACTGCAGCTGGACCTTCAATCTGCAAGGCAGAGGCACCATGTTACCTCGGTCTACGTCACTACTTGTAGCTCTCGACAGTAGCAGTCTCAGAAGTTTCCTCAGCAATTTATGTTCACTTTACAGAGCGATCTTTTCGAGATGCTCACCTCAAAGGAGTGGTGAAACAATTTTTCGTTCCAGGGGTCAACAAGGAAGACAAAGCTGTCTGTCCTCCATCCCATTCAACAATCAGAGTCGTTTTGACTTTCAGAGCCCAATGATCAAGGTCTAGAGCATTCCTAAGGGGTTTCTTTACGCTGAAATCTCTACATGACAGTGTTTCTAGCAGAAGATATGCCATAGTTTCTACCTCTTCAATTAAGAGTAAGTTCAGTCAGCGGAACCCTACGTGGAAGACTTCCGTTACCAAGTTAATGATTTTTTGGGGATAGACCTCCACAAGGAGAAGTGGTAGGCCTCAGCGCATGTAATGCAGTGCGATAGGCCTTGAGTTTGTAAGTCAAGTCACTATCAGACCACTAGAGGCATTTTATACCATCTCGGTCAGCAGAAGACATCTCCACACGGTGGACCATAGCTTTAGTATCATCCACAAGAACGTAGTGATGTCCTCGGAACTCGATGAGCACCCTAAACAGGCCAGTCACGAGGAATGTTGGTTTGGTGATGCTCAGTCACAGAATCCAACCAAATAAATGACGCCTTCATTTTTGTTGTCTCTCAGGCATTATTTCTATTCAATTGGAGGCGTTTCTTGAAGCCCATCAAGGCAGGTGACCAAGGCTTGATGGCCTCCATTGGCGCTACTGGAGCCGAAATCAACCATCACTGCGTGAGGAACATCCAACACAACATAGCACCCTTCTAGCCCATAATATCTCCTTGAAAAGACAACTTCGTCCAACTCATGAACTTCAACGTCATCTACGGGTGGCAATGACCCATGACTTAGGCTGTTTCGTTATGTGGGTTCAATTGAAAACCTTTAAATGGCTTCAACTTGGTCAGGGCCTTGACCGGCCAAGCCCGATGCACTGCTGACTGACACGTAGCTGAAATCCATCAGGTCATCTTGTACTGTGGACTCACCATTGAGCTCCTTGATGGTGAGGATGGCGTCAACGCTCGGCGAAATCAGCAATACCGCATTGAAGTAGCTATTAAAGAAGGTGTTGGGCAACCACTTCTTCATGACGGAGGTGAACCGCCAGAATCACAAATGGGGTTCTTCAAGAAAGTAAGGTTTCATGAACACGAGGTTAAGCCACTGCTGCGATGCCATCAGAGGGCCTAGTGACTTCAGCATTGCCCCTAGAATATTTCGACCAATGTGGCAGTGATTGGTGTCGTCCGCTGCAACGTCAACTTTGATGGTAGTCTTCTACTCAATGCTTAGACTTCAGGCACGCATAACACATTGGATATTTCACCAACCCTTTCCAGGCTGACGCTCTCAGCATTCAGCAGGCTGGCGAGCTCGCCACGTCTACACACGGTCGCCAAAGCTCATGGAATCAATCTGTAGCAACAGATGATTTGAAGGGTGACCCAATGACATGCCGTTCCTCCAAACGAGGTTCCAGTACTCCAAGTGCTTCCACGTGTCATTTAGCTGCCTTGTCTTCGCAATCCATGGTGAAGTAGCCTCTCAGAAAGGTATAATCAGCGAGCTCGGCTACAATTCCGCAGAAGATCTGAATAGAGCTTGTCATCGAGTTTATTCAAGCTACCCGTAAGAAGTTCCACAAAAATTTAAAAGAAATTAGCCCAAAACTCGTTTGCGCGGATTTGGAGTGCGGATCTCCTGCCAAGAGGGTTAAGGTGCAACAGTAGACAGCAAAAAGAAGTATTTTTGGACTGCATCTAGTCAGTCAAGCAGTGGCATTGTAGATGGACGAGTCAAACCTGGGACCTTCTCCCAAATTTCCTCATTTATGCCTACAGTTAAATCTCGCATTCCAGTCGGTTTTCTAACATTAAAGCGTGAGAGAAAGTGATTTTGCATGCCTCCATTCTACTGCTATCACCTGTCTACTTCTCAAGAGGTAGACTCCAGTGCGCCAAGAATGTAGGAGTGGAATAATTATTGAACTACCTAACAACCTAGTTGACTTTATGCACTGCCAGTGCAGAATATGGAGCCAAAAAACAAAATAATCCAAGTGGACAACCGCGTCTATTCTCTTCATAGTGGATTTGGATGTGCAGACGGTTCGAAGCCTTTTGGGTAGGTGAGCAGCCCAGTCGGGCAGAGCAGCAACCGTGGCAGCAAAATCGACGCGGTGAGTACAGCCTAATGATGAAGGCAACAGTAATTCATACCAAAACTACGCAAAAATTTAGCGTCACCTCCTTTCCATGATTTGGAATATCTTTTCCAATTCAATCGGTGTTATTTGGTGTGTGAAAAGTAGCTGTCCAAATCAGACTTGGTGTTGTTTGCTACTGACACTTAAATAGTAGTATACTGACTCAACTGTATGAAAACTATGTAGGAGTAATTTTTAGCTGAACGCTTAGAAAAGGCAGCATATTTTACGTGTCAGAATAAAGTGTTGACAGAAGACACCCAAACGGTGGAAGATACAGCATTAAGAGGACACGTTAGCACTACTTAGGAGCACAAGATTCAACAACAACAGCTCTGAATAAAAATCCCACAATGGAAGGCTTTGCCCATGTCCATATCAAATGTGGGTGGAAACATCAACTTTCTTCTGTCAAAGTATTGATAATTTTTGTGCCTCACGGCCTGTTCTGACAAGACCTTAGAATTAACACTATATCATCTCGGAGGCGACCATCTTTCACGTTCCAGGAGTAGATGGTGCCAAAGATACCAACGTCGCATTTCTCACTTGACTGCTACACGTTGTCACTTCCTCAACAAATGTGGTTTACAAAATCCGCAGACCACGAAGCGATGAGACCGATGTTACTCATAGGTAAGGTGTTGGACTTGTGCTTATTCAAAGGTGATGATTAGGGGGGTGGGGGTGGGCGGGGGAAGAGACATGTTGGAAATGATCTTTTTAAAGCGTTGATAGATGTAGTGCGTTAATTTGTCATGAGAGAAGGTAGATGGCGGGCAGGCTAACCTTAATCGAAGGTTTGATCAAATTTTGGAAATAGGCCTCTTTAAAAGCTGTATCCTGGGTGTGTTCACTCGGCTCTCCTAGTTTGGACGCTAAAGCCAACAGGGTTGGTCGCTCCTAAAATTGCCAACAACTCGCCTGTTAATGGCTCTTCTTCTACCGATTAGCAGATACCAGGTAGCTGGTCGAGATGCCTACCAGCGATGTTAAACTACCGATAGACAAATGTCTAGGCAAAAGAACCAATCAGGTTGCAGACGGTCTCTAGTTCAACCACTCTAGACGCTATTTGATCGCTGCGGTATGAACGTAGTTTTGGAGAGGGAGGTAATTTTTAAAAGAGACGGTACCTTTCCATAAGGAATACTCGAGACGGGTGCTTTGGGCCTGAGAGGTGCTGTTTGAACACAGACTGAGGCAGTAGCAATTGGGCGGACCGGAGGCATACTGCACTGCATCTGAAAAGCACAAGGAATGGTGGAGTTGGCGCCATCTACTACATTGTAATGGAGTGTCACTTCCTCTCACTTTTGGGATTCCAGACCAAAAGATCGTAAATCAAGATACGGAAAGCTTACGCTAGTAATGGTCGGTGATAATGGAGTGCTATTATCCTCAGACGCAGTGATAGGTTTGAGGACGCTAGCTCGATTTCCTTCAGTGGTAGGGCTGTTAGCCAAGTGAGGACGCAATACAGGAGCCGGGACCGACTTTCTCTTACTGCCCAACAAAAATTTGGGCAAAGTGAATGAATCCTTCTGCTCGAAGATAACTTTTTGGCCAGACTTGGGAGGCTGCGAGCCTTCGTCGAGTGATCTGTGCTGACTCTCATTGAGTTTTCGTTTCACCGTGAAGCTCGTTTCGTGTATTGTCATGGGCTGAGTGAAAGGAGGAAGGCAATTTAGGCCTAAATTCGATCTGCTGACATCGGGGTCAGATGCAACTCGAAGACAATTCGTTATTTTCATGTCTTACCCGGCTAAGTGTAGTCATCTTAGCAGCTCTCGTCTCCTCTTTACTTCGATAGAGTTTTTTTCTGTCCAGACTGGTCGTAGCATTGGTATAATCTGACCGCATTTGCTGTATGGCACAAAGTCCAAACGTGGTGAGAGACAGTACTACTAATAAGTTATTAGTAGATGGAGCGAGGAACTCACAACAGGAGCTGAATGCACCGGTGAAGGCGCGGACACAGGACTTATGACTTCCACATCACTTAACGGCGGTGGACTGCTAGCAGCCATTGTGTACGACTTCTCCAGCACCCGTGGAGGTGCTGATGGTCGCGGAGGCGGTGGAAGATTGCGTGGCTTCAACAAAGACACCAAGTACAGAGTAAAATTTCAAAGTTCTTTATTTAAAAGAGACACACAAATGTGGAGGGAGAAATTATGATTTTGCTTAGGCAATATTAGCACGGAGCAAGGTGGATCCACTGAGGCGTTATGCAAATAAAGGGGAGGGAAACTAACCACAGCTAGGCGCTCTCGACATTGCAGGAAAAGCTCTTCCAGTGAAAAACTTCTACTCACAAAGAAATCTGTCTTTTAAAATGCAGTATACGTCCAGAATATTAACTCTCTGAGGCTATATAAAGGATAAGATTTTTTCCTAATTATTTTGCTATATTTCCGTAAAAGTATTGTTGAGAGGGATGATTGGATTGCATTAAGAGATGTTAATTCCCACAAAAAAAAGGTGAAAAATCGGAGCGTTTACAATAAGTTTTAAGGATTTTATTTGTAATCTAAATGAGATTAAAGGCCTTAAGTTAATTCTTGGAAGTTAGCCAAATTAAGTTAACTGGAGAATAAATATTCTGATAAGTGAAGTTAAGTTGAGGAGTCGCTGCAGCTAAGGTGAAATTACCTAACTGAAGGAAAGTGTTCGTAGGAAATATACGACATGTGTGGGAGATCTTTGTTTTACCTTAGCCATTCATAATAGGCAGTCCTTTTTTAAACCGTCGAAATTGTCGGCCATACTGGTGAAAGATTCAATTTTGCTCTTTAAGGCTTTTGTTTTTCTTATACAAGGAGGGATAGAGAGGAGCAATAGGCCTGTACAACCGCCTAAGATGCTTCAATCCACCACGGAGACTTGTTAATCAATTAGCTGGTCTACATCCAGACAATGAAGTTGGTTGTCAAGTCCTGGGTCGGATCGAGGGCTCATTCCCACACAGAGCTTGAGCATTTGGAAATTAAATGTCACAAGCACTTCCTGGGTGGGTTCCATGTTTAGGGGTTGGTTAAAAGTCTACTGATTAGCGGCACTCACTGCAGCAATAACTCATTAATGTTAAGATACAAGAAGCTGTGATGCCAAACTGCCACTTGAAAGAAACTAAATTCTACAAACGAATGCACCAAAAACCAAAACATTTGCCTCATACTTCACCATCCACAATTCATTGTTCTGATTAAAAGAGGCTAGTACCCGAAAGGTGGTGCGGTCTCGGCATTATTCGGGCCTAATGATAAATCGTTAGCACCCTTTTCTAACAGCCACAACAGGCGCGAGACTAAATGTGCGTTCGTAGTGCAGGGTCTTCTTAATAAAACGCACCAGCAGGCGCATTAATCATGCTAGGAGGGATACTCTCCGCTTTTTTGTCTAGGATGAAGCCCATAGCCTTTAGCACCACCTCCGAAATTAGCTTTATAAATTCCACTAGCACCAACACAATGATGCTACAAATCTACTTTAAACAGTGCTTTACCTTTAAATTTAAGCAGTCCCTCCAATTCCATAGGAAAAAAGCCGTCTTTTGAATAAAAGCAAAAATAATTTTATCCACCGTAGAGAAGTAGGTGATGCAATCTAAGTAGGCAGAAAGTCCTTGCCGTTCCCATAGCACAGGGTATCTGAATGTGGGTCCCTTATAAACGAAGTTAAATGATTCACAGAGGATATTACTTCGTCATTTCTTGCACACAAAGGACCTAATGGTTGCAGCCCAGCGCACAATAATCATGTAACATCGCAAAATTTAATTCTTTCGCACAAAATTTATTAGTTTCTAGACCTGCTTAGATTTTGGGATAAAACACGCCTAGTTTAATAACCCTGAAGGGAATCCGGAGTAAAATTTACAAGTTTTAGTGAACTTTGATTATTGCAACTTCTTAGTTTATTTGACTGATGTGCATGAAGGCCTTCGTCTGATTGGACAAACCACATCAAGTTAAAACAACATAACAAGTAATAAATTTTGCGAGTAAACACTTTAATGGCTCATCAGGGACTATTTTACCCAACCCATTTTTCCCATTAAAATTCGGCACTTTCTTAAAGCCATATAGGTGTGCTACTTCGGCGGCAAGATTGTTATTCTGGCTGTGCAAAAAAAGGAGGAAAACCTGTCACATTGACTACGTTTTTAAGAAATCCCAGCTTCCGTTGAGACAAGCCAAAGGAGCAACCGTGTTTGCACACACATACTCCAAGAATTTGCGCTAAATCAGATCTTACCGCAAATGCTTTAGACTGGAGGAGCTGAGGATAGCGGAAGAGATGGTTAATGGGCTTGATGCATTCCTATTGCAGCCTAATTTACTCAGAAAAATCCCTCACACCCTGCCTAATGATGTACTTTTTAAGGAGTAAAATGTTGAAGAAGAGAAACTTCACATTATGTGCACTCATTCACAACAAAGAATTAGGAGCGGTCATCTTCTGTCACCTAACGTCGACCTTAAAGGTGTTTCTTTAGTAGAGTGTTCATATTATACGGGCTGGCTCTCCAGTAACTAACTAACTAACTACAGATAAACACCACTTACAGAGGCTTTGGTGGAATTCGATTGTTCATTCTTTGCTGGTGGAGGACGCGGAGGTTTGAGGTCATTTGCAACCACTGCTCCATTTGCCCTCTCAGATTTTATACTTTCCATCATATCTCGAGCCTTCTTCTCATTTATGGCTTGTGCAATTGTTGTTAATACGGGCTTTGTAGCAACAGATGGGCATATTTCTTCCTCAGCTGGTGTGTTCTTAAAAGAAAAATGTTTAGTCAATATTTATCGTCTTCTTTTTGGAAAAATACTGTTAGGAAGACGCAGATGGGCGGAAATTGTGGTGAAGGCACCCATAAAATGCAACCCCATTGTAATTTCTACCTCGTTTAATTATGTCAGCCGTGGTCGGCAGGGGCTCAGGTAGCATTCACAATAAACAAAGAAGGCTTTGCTCTAAGTCGTCTAATCAAACGTCTGCCTGGACCTTAGCAACGCCATAAGTGTGCATTTGGCGTACAAACGACGTTAGGTACAAGTTGGCGTTCTCCCTCACTTGCTCTAAATGGATTCTACGGAACATTTCGACCGCTACTGACCGCGGAATAGCTGGTAAACAATTGGCATATATCGCTGGAAGAGAGTCACTTAAACGATTTAGCACTTCTAAATTCGCTCATATTTGTTCTTCCCATTGTAAATGATTTAAAAGAGAGAAAAATGTAACATAAAATGACCCCAATCTGTGATCGTGTCCCTAAAAATCAATTTTATTGTATAATAACTGGTGTCAGCACGGGTTCAAGCGCAAAAGGCAGAGGTCAAGCGCGTGATACCACTCACAGGACTTTTTCCGTTTTGTTGTTCAGCTGGAAGATTATCATAGATGTGGGGGGAGCCACCAGCCTCGCCAACTTTATGCAAAGACTCAGTTGAGGGTGTTGGTGAGGGTGGCATTGCGCTGAGAATGCTGTCGAGTTCCTTGCGTCGACAAGTTGTAGGCGACTCCTGGTGGATACCGGAAATAATTTTATAGTGAATGAGGCAGTGCGAGAGAAAGCAACAGTGAGTAAAGAAGCGATAAAAATGAAGTCGCTCACAGGTAAATAGCACCAGCACCAACACACACACGCACGTAGATTATGTTCATCAATTTTGAGTGGTTGGTATAGCACACATACCCACATACACTCACATACACACGCAATCACAACCGTAAACTCCGTCTGTGCCACGGTGGTGGCAAACCAACTCCAAGAGACGAATGGTGATGACAAAGAAAAGCGGTGACATTAAAGCACTGACTTAATGTTGAAGAGAGTATCACTTTCTTGATACGGTTGAATCAAAAACCCCCCTTCTTCAGTTAGCATAAGACGACTAACAAGCGATAATTTAAATAAATATCATTCTGGAGCATGTGCCGCCTCCAAAATGCATTTTCTCACAAATAATCAAGTTGCACACCCATTCTAGGCGAAATTTCCCCACTTAATTATTCTCTGAGTGCCATTTTGATTCCTTTTCGCTAATCGACATTCGGCAAAAGGGATGCTTATAACTAATAAGTAGTAGAGATTTTTTCCTGAGGAAAAAATGCAGGTTATGCAAAGTTGACGGTTTACTTTCGACAGCCGGTCCTGTCTCCCGCACCCAGGGCTGACGCCTCATAAACGATCCTTTCCTACTAAAAATTCCCGTCTTTTTCACTGCCCTCAAAGTTTACTTCAACCGGATCGGAAGCGGAGGGGATGAATCACGCAGTGTTAAGGTGGCCAAAGTTTCACACTAAAAGGGCACATTTGGTCACACTTTTAATCATCGCCCCATGAAGTGAAAAGGAGTTAAATACCTCTGCAAAGATAAATTCATTCTGACTTGACTTTCACTTGTGCAGACCAGAAGGCGATCAATCTGTTGGCGAAACTGAATCTACAGTCAGTGGGTGATAGCAGAGCCCAAAATCCACGCTCTAGATGAGAAATCTACGCTTCAGTGAGCACACCAACTCCATCCCACATGCCAAGTTAGTGCAGCCTCGGATAGCCCAACAGCATTAATCGTGTTTACGAGGGTACCGACGCCGACAAGCTGAAAGAATTGCGTCCTCTGTTATTTTAACTTCTTCACCCTCCATTCTCTCTCTCTCACCACAGCTACACTCACATGAGCTCAATCATTGCAAGTCAGTTGTCACAATACGGTCGATGTAGAACAATAGAAAATATGGGACTTTGGCCCGTTGTTCAGCACTAGATATCACGCATATCTGCGCAGTAGCTGTAGTTTTCCTGGACACGCACTGAACATTATACATGCCAGATGGGGCGATATTGAGACAAAAGCTTTCGGCTAGCACAATTTCTGTTTTCAGTTACATTTGAGGCAAATACTACTTATTTCCCAACAACATTGTTTAAGTAGGTGGGTAGGCATTGCGATTCGACTGATCCCCAGACAAAAGCACTACAATGGTAGCGAATGAGGTGGTGGGAGGTCTGGCCAATGGAGAGACGCTAAAGTTCCTCAGGGGAAGATGAATTTGTGTCCGTTAAGATTGGGTGCGAATACGTGATTAGATTTAAGGAGGGGGTGGTCTCTTCGACGTTGTCAGGCCTGACTGCCAATTGGCTCAACTGACAACTGGTTTATAAAGTGCCAAAAATGTTGCTGGACTCTTTAAGGAGGTGGCGTTCTCCATTTGGAAACCATAAAACTTACTGATAAAGCGGTGAAAAGGGGAAAAAATATTTTAAAGCTTCATTCAGTAAAGGGGGGGATTAGATCCCCCAGCTACTACTTATTTAGCAAAAACGACTTTCCGAAGTCCCTGTCATGAATGCTTGCAAGAAAAGTACAGAAAGGAGGTAGTACGTACCAAAGGTGCTTGAATTTCACGGCTTTCATACGTCAGGAGACCTCCGTCTCCACCAACTCCGTTGGCCTTAGAAACATAGGGGAAATTTTAAAGAAAACCCTTTGAAAATACCTTCATTTTCCCTTGGTGGTCGTATTCATTGAACTGAAAAGGGGGAATCTTATACAGAGACAGGTAAATTTGCCTACCTCTTGATAGTGTTCACATAGACAGTAACCATCCTAGGGTTGGAAAGAGCAAGAAAACAATCTCTTACAATAGAGGCCTGAGCTTCCGTGGTGACGTTCTCCTTTAGAAAGCGACTTCTCAAGTCAGTAATAAAATTCGCTGGTAGAAATGAAGCTTACAGTGAACCCAGCATGGTAGACACCAGGAGAATGGGGGAGGAGGAGGAGGAGAGACTATCTGTCGAAACACGCTCTCCACCGACTGAGAGCCTGAGAAAAGCGCTTGAGACACGGTGAAGTGAGTCCAACTGACTACATCCCAAGGTTATATGGGTATTCGTGTGCTCTTAGATGACTTGCTACATGCAAATGACCTAACACCCAATCGTGTATCCACACAGACACACACACACACACACGCACAGTAGATGACGAATGAATCCGGAGTGACGGTAGGCTGGGATTTGGAGAGTGGCATGAAACGCAATAAGCCTACTAACAAAACCGGAGCATTTACTCACTTTATTGCCCTCAAATTAAGGTCATGTAACGGCTACCCATTTGCAAGCCATTAAGAGACATTGGATCATCATCATATTAGAGACTTGGCGAAAGCGATACGGAAAAAGGTCAAAAGATAGTGTGGGCTGTTTCGGTCTCAGGCGGCTCGGATTTCACTCCAGATGGTACGCAGCTGTTACGCTGTCGAAGCCCTTGCTTTCAGAGACAGCACAGATGATACTACTCAAAAAAGTCGCAGGGGACAGCCACGTAGAGTGGATGGATGAATCCAGGGGGGCACAAACCAAATTTGTACCAAATTTCAGCAACAACCTCATCCTCGGACTCTAAATCATGCCCGGAAACGAGCGAAATCAGGTTCGAACAAGTCAAAACGGCTGTAATCACTGCTAATTGCAGCATTCTTTATAAGACAAACAAAAAGGGCGGAGGAACATGCTTGCACCACCACATGCCTCTGCATTCGCGCTGCTTTTGCTGCGGGCCTCTCAGACTTTCCGCATGCTAGTAGTAAATAGGAGGTGGTTTTCGGTAAGAATTCCGTGATTAAAGTATCAATTCAGCTTAAAAATAGTATCACTTTGCAAAAGGGTGAAAAAGCGAGGCGGTGTCGGATCTCCTCGTGTGAGCATTTCAGTCCAAAAGAGACAGACAAATTAAACACCAAAGAGGAGAGTCATATATCTTAAGTGAATTCACGTTTTCGAAAGTGCCACTTCATAAATCAAGTAAAATGCCAAAATCAAAGTTAAATAACTGACAAAAACACATAGCTGCAGTCGATAAAAAACCGCCTTCATTGCGATTGGTTGGAATGTACACCAGCTGTCAATTTAGCCCCGAGGTCCTTCTCAATGGAGGTGTGCTGCTTACTTGATAAGTATAAATACCTAATTATTTAAACTACTTCTAATTTTATGCCACAAAAACTCAGGGGTGGGTGCGCAGCAAAAATGAATCGCGCGCAAAAGGATACACTGAGTGAAGATGAAGCAGATGAGAATGCCTTCAAGAGGCTCCCATGAATTTGCGCACAGTTTTGTAATCAAAGTGTACCAAGAGTGAATTAAGATATGCGTACGGATTTGGAAGGAAGCAATTCTATCAAAATCATTTTCAGGGGGTGTTGCAAGCATGATTACTTATTAAAAGTTCTATCTTAAAATACAGCACTAAAAAAACAGTAAAACAGTCTAAAAATAACTGAACTTGTTCTAGGTCAAATCGATCCCCGATGACCAGACTAAATGGGTTTGGAGTAAAATCACAAATAGCGAATATGTACAGAAAAAAATCCTTTAGGAGCCATTAGAGCGTGAAAGAATCATTGATTTGTTTCTTGCGAGAAGTTAACATTTCTGGTTAACTAACTGAAGTTTCAGGCTTACAAGCCTTCAAAGATAAAGGATGCACCTCAGGTCTTTTAAGTCATTCAATATAAATATGCGGTTAGAGAATAATCCACTTTCTTAAAAATCAGGAATAGTTCAGCCATTTTCCTAGTCATATCCAGAAAATATTTTCCTTTTCGTTATGCAAATAGTACGTGGCATTGACTTAGTGGGAAATCAAATATTTCACTGCAAACGAACGATTTGGTAATTTGTTTTATTTTCTGTTATGTTTGCGTAAGTTGGACTTGAAGGTCATATGCTCCTCAGTATACCTTTCAACATAAATCTCACTAACTTACAGTCAAAATGCATTCCTACTGATTTAAGCAACAAGATTTTAAAAATGGGTCAAAAACTGATTTATTAATCGGGCAAAAATACTTTATCTCCCAGAAATCTAACCAAATCTAGAGATAACAAGCCGCTGGTAACCTTGTTTCAATACCGGTTAATCAAAGTCCAAACGAGGACAATTCATTCAAACACACATAAACCAAAAAAAGCGAGTCTAGCTACAAGCAAGAAAAACTTATTTAATGCAAAAATGCATGTAGCAGGTTATATTGCAGCATAGTCGTTTACTTTTAAAATTCTTGAAAATCTCCACCTTAGTAGCAGAACTTAAAGTTTATTTAGGTAATATTTAGATAGAAAGTATCAAGGTTATGAAGTATTTGGTGTTAGTAACTACGGAGATGCCGTAGTTGAGGCCAAAATGTAATGCAAGTGGTTTTTGATGTCCAGTTTTTAAGAAAACCGGTGAGAAGAATCTAAAGAAACGCCTGGAATGTTCACCGTGAAGACTTTAGTTTTGTTTGCTGTCGATATAGACGTTGTGGAATAAGTTCCTTGCCTTTACCAAGTTGACATTTTTCCAGGGCAAAAATTTGGGCTCTCGTGTCAATGTCCAAAAGCCAACTCGAATTGTCAAAAATTGGGCAGCTGATTCATTTACAAGTCACATCTGTTATTTTTCGTGAAATTCTTTGCACTATTCTGGCACACTAACTTATTTAGATCGTAAAACATTCCCAATTCATGGACGCACTCCTCTACAAGGTGGCTCAGCTCGCAGGCCAATTTAATGACCGAACTTTTTTAGATGAATTAAAGAAATTCCAACTTACTAATTGAAATCTCACTTTTTTGCGCCTTTGAACCTTCCTTTTTGAGCCCCAAAACACCACCCGACTGCCACAATCAAGGAGGATCAGCATGGCCGGTTGAATTTTTCAAAATGAATAACTACAGGCGGTGTTACTACTGGTGCAGATTTCGGACAAGGTTGCTTTTTTTCTCCTTATTTAAAGATCGCAACAAGCTAGGCAGCTGGCTTTTTAACTATTGCTTCCACCCCACCTTGTCGCGTCTTGCCTCGCCTCGTTTTTTCCTTCCCCCGGCCGTACGAGACTTCATTTCCGTGCCGCGTGATTGGTCAAATTTGGCGATCGTTTCCGGTGCGTGTATTTACTTCATCCAAGATTTCAAGGTTAATTTACACCGCATGATAGACTTAAAAAGTACTTTGCTTTGTACTTAAGAGGACCTCTCCCCTACTTTATCCCTTCGCATAGTGGCCAGTAAGTCGGAGGTGTAGGCGGTTCCGAAAGGGAGGACTTCTTATAAGCTTGGCAGAGGGAATGAGTATGTCGTTAGGACTACAAACTAATCGAGTAGTGAAGAGAAGAAAAAAGGCCCAAGTATCAATTTGAACTTCGAATTTTTGCTGATTTACGATGAAATGCTCCTCAGTGGGTGAGGGCATCACCTTAACAGCGGATTTATTTACTGATCATGCGCATTCACACACACGTGCAAACACATTTGAAAGATGAATGTGTCTGATTCATCATGGACACAGGTGTTACGCGAAGCCAAAATTGTTGACCAGGAGATAGAAAAAAGCTTGTGCGTGGGTCAAGCCAGCTGTGTCAATGTGAAAGTGGTCTGCTAGTCAGCAACAGAGGAGCTTTACACACGATGGCCCAGAGGAACGAATCATACACCGCACGGTGCGTATTGGCACCACTTCCATGGCTATTAAAAACGACAAAGAAGACACCAGTAGAGAGAATAAAGGGTGATCTAGTCAATGTGTAGCAGGGTCCATTACAGCTGGCAAAGCAAACTGACAGCTGTCAAAACTTATCAGGCTGCAACATCCAAGGTGGAAGAGTGCAGGGTGCCCCAAAATCACACACCAAAGGGAGTGGGTTCACTGTCGCAACACTGACGCATTAGGGTGACGCCGTAAGTCAGATTTTTCAGGCTCTCTCACACACGCAAATGCACACACAGTTCTACGAAAATATTGCAGGATCGTCGATCACGCAGCCAAGATCAGCGGAAACAAAAGGAGAAAAAAAAGACGCAAACGCAGAGCTAGGATCCATCAAGGCGTGGGTGAAAAAAATTACTGATAGACGCAAAAATTCCTTCAATCGCAAATATCTGTGAGAATCAAAAATGCAGCTCAACTTACGGGTTCAGTGGCGACTACCTCCTGATGTGTCGGTGTGATATTAAGACTTGAAACAATCCGTGGTGAAGGTCGTGAACCGGATATCTGGGGAATCCTTCCCGGGGCGGAGTCCTCGCCACTCCTGCTGGAGCCACCCAACTTGAATTTGAAACCCTTCTTCAAGTTCCTCATCACACCTGAAATCGGTTTCGATGCTCCGGTTGTTGGCGGCTTCGCCGTCGTCGCTTCGGTTTTGGCAGATTTCTTGTGGGCTTTCGACTCCTGTGTCGCCCCGGAATCATCCTCCACGTGCTTCTTCTGCCATGGAAGCGTGAAACGGGATGCAGCAGGTAGAGTCATTGTGCGTTTCACCTTAGTAGTTGATGGTTTTTTCTCCTTGTTAGGCTCCACTTTCACCGGCTCCTCTTTCTGTTTTTGGTCAACTTCTTTAATTTCCAATTTATGTTCTTCAGCGACTTCGTTAGACTCAGCTTTCGCCTTTTCATCGGCCGTCGTTTGTTGCAACTCCTGAACCTCCAATTTCTGTTCCTCAATCACTCCCTTCGCCTCATGTACTGCCCTTTCTTCGTCCTCCTTATGCAGAGCTTCCTGGACTTCCATTTTATGCTCCTTAATCCCTTCGGCAGCTTCATCTTCCGATCCTGTGTTCACCTCTGTCTGCTGTTCCTCGATAGCAGCTGCACACTCATCGATGACTTTCTGAATTTCTGCTTTTAATTCTTCATTATCGTGCATCTGTTCATCCCTCAGGCTCACAGATCTAGGCTCTTCGGATACTTCCTGAGCCTCGGATTTCCGATCTTCCTTCTTGTCATCCACTTGATCTTTTTGGATTTCTATTTCGTGCTCCTCGATCACTTCTTTGGGTTCTGTTTTCACTTCATCCTTCTCGGTCGTGGGTGGAACTTCTGGAAGAGAGAGTTGAATTTCAGCTCGTTGTGTTTCCTCTACTTCTTGATTGTTTAAAATCCTGTTCTCTTCAGGGGGAGAAGGCGGAGCTTCCAAATGCAGAGAACTTTCCTGACCAGGTGCAACGATAGTGTCATCACTATCCGTGCAAAGATCCGTCCTCTCTCCAGCATCCACTAGAGTTCGTCGAATTTCCATTCCTCCGTCTGGAGCGACCGTGGTGCTTAACACGTAAAGGTCTCCCTTTTTGGGGCTATCCGGTGGTACAATCTCCTTCGTGCCATTGGTGTTCAGTGCCTCCATGCCGTCCGTGGTGATGGTAATCAAGCCTCCCCCGTCCCCAGCGTCTTCGTGGTCATCACTCATTCTCCCTCTCTTGTTCAGTCGAAAGTGGCTTCTTGACATACACGCACAGCGTTCTATGCGCTGCGTTTCAGTCTAAGCGCTCTCGAAAACTCGTGCCATCACGTGTGTGTGTGCGTTTGATGCGTATGTGTGAGTGTTATGCGTGTGTATGGTTGTGCTTTCGCCTGTCTGCCTCACAGAGACCCAGCGTTTGCGTATGCCAGTAATAGCTGGGGTAGTAGGACAGGCGGACTGTTAGTCTCACCACCATTTGCGCATGTTCTCGCCTGTCCGTCCCACCGCTCTGTGTGTGTGTGTGTGTGTGTGTCTTGATGCCTCGGCATGACCGACAGGCACTTCACTCCCCCAGTTGGTCTGTCCACAAAGTCCTCTCATTGATCGACTAAATCCGCTTCTTTTTCCCCTCTTCTAGGCGGAGGAGGAGGACTCGATGAAAAACTTGTCTAGTCCCTACGGCTTTCCCAAGGTGACAGCAAAGTAGCAAATCAAATGAGATAACTTTCGACTCGACTTCGAGATGAGGAGGAACAAATGCATTTATATTTGGTGGAGGATTTCCAGCCAATCTGCTTTCAAGGTCACCATACTGGTCGATCGAAAAAGGCAAAACCGGAGGGGTTGCTTCTCTCCCCAGGTCAGATTTTCTAACCAGAACACTATCACTTGACAAGAAGGGAGCTCTGATGGATAATTAAGAAGAGAATTTCTCTAGACATGAGAAAAAAGGCAGCGACTGGTTAATGCGAGCCAATTGCTGAAACAGATCTGATGATAAGTTAATGCCTGGTGGGTAGCTCGCTCATTGGCTACTTTCAAGGTCGGGGTGGAGATAGATTCTACGCTCCAGCCAGGACTTGACATATTCACCCATGAAATGAGAAAGTTCATTCTGTAGATGTACAAATGCACTTTATCATCATGTTAAATGACAATTAGGTTTTTTCCGACTGGAGTGTTGCCAAGGTGCTCAGTTTTGGGAAGTTAAGAAGAGACAATTTGCAGGAAACAGAAAATGGATAAATAATTGAGGTAGTTAGGAGGAGGAATTTTTTAGATAAACCACATTCTTTAGAACGAAAACCTTTAAATTCGACCACGAGGCAGAGAGCAGGAGGACAGTTTTTCAATGTCAGTGTAAGAAATATTCTAGAAAATGAGCCGCGATTCTTTAGCCACGACTTAAAAAGAATAAAAGAGACGGCTGAGAAGGTTAGAATAATTACAATTTCCCAGACATTCCAATCCTCCTTGAGGGAGAGAATCCTTGCGTCTGACCACGAGAGGGCAATTCTCTGATTGGTTGATTTCAAGGCCAGGGGAGGGATCAATTAGGGGAAGACTGACAAAAAACAACCGTTTCTGTCAATCAGCTGCTGATTTTGACAAGTAAACGGGGAGAGTTTTGCTCGGCTATGAACTTAAATTTGTTTAAGGAGGTCGGAAACTTTAAATTTTAGAATGACTTTGTAACCCGGACGATTGGAGGGGGAGTGAGAAATTAACAGGAGTTGATTTGACATCATCAAATAACTTTTCCTTTTTAAAAAGGGTAAATGGTTTGAAGTAAGATCAAAAATGTTGAGAAAACCTTTTTTGGAAAATATTGTGTTAGTAGAAACTCGGCGCCAATAAATAATCTTGAGAAGAGGCTCTGAAGAAGTTCCCCGCCTCTCTCTCTCCCGCCGCCTGATGGAAAAAGTAATACGGCTGCCTTGCGACACCGAATTAAGGAGGCTAGTAGAATGAGACAGGATGTAAAACGTTCTTGTTATATGAGACACAGGCATTCAAAGTGGCTACTGAATGACAACAATTTGCCTGTCACCTTGAATGACACGCACTTTCTATCAGCCTGGCTTGGGGGTGCATCGACACTCGCAGTCTGACTGTCTTATTGGTCAAGTGTTATAAAGTATTTATCGCCCCTTCAGCGACTGATAGTTTACGTTGCCTCTTACCAAGAAAGTCCTTCTATTGGGGAGCAAGTACGACGTGTTATTGCCAGGCGTGGTTAAGGCAGGTCAACCGGGATTTTGGATGCACGCGAGTGGATAGAAAAGAAACTTTGACTACTGTGTCGTCTAGGTCATTTGTACGTCTAAAGCAGCTAAAGGCACCTAACTTTCCTTCTTTTTTTCTCCTGGTAGACCTTTAAAAGCCTAACTAAAAGTGTTTAAAGGCGAACGCCTCTTCCAGTGCTGTTAGTGAGACACCACACAATTGGCGGAGGCATGGAGAGCCAGAAAGGTCAACCACAAGTCAAATGCTTATTGGAGGGTGGAATCACTGCGCTGTGCATACTTGATTGCATCTAATTAGCCAACTTAGGATCATTTATGTAAACCGTAAAGTCCAATTTAACCATTACTTTTCGCCACCTAAGTCATGTATATGCGACACGGGTGCTCTATCCGTTTACAATAGCTGTTGGCATCGCAACCATGGCAGCTACATCCAGTAGCGATAGGCGCACGATGTGCATAACTTGGAGGTACCTACATCGGTCTCGTATTCCAGTCATAAAATGTCGATTACTTCCCACCGACACGGGCCTCTTGATTTGAACATGCCCGATTCCCTCATGGTGCCATGTTTTCTCACTTGATAAATTTGACAAAATTTCAAGGGAGATGATTAACGTCCTGCTTTTCCTATGACTCTTGTGATCTTACCCTCACATGGACAACCAGAGTGATCGGTATACGTCGTCCCTAACACGTCACAGTAATCAACTCCCTTTTACCTGGGAATCTACAAGAGGTGAATTTAACCACGGACCGCGCACACATCTCAGCGACGGAGTTGGATCATGGGGTTTTGGGACTATTCCCACTCCGCAGCAGCACCGCAGCTGTCCGGGTAGAAAGGCAGGGCCGGTGCGCCAGATCGAAGTGGTCACCTGATAAGCCGAGGCCATTAGACGAGTCTTATTGCATCCCTATCTTTAGGCGACTGCGTTAACTGTTGGTGTGGAGAATACAGAAAGAAAAAGCTCAAATTACTCCATGTTCTGCAAAGGATCACCTTTCGGTAAGTATATTCACCTATTATTCAAAATAGGTGACTCCACTGTATGATAAAAAAGGCTGGATAGCTAAATTTGTATTCAAAAAACCAGTAAAAGAAATCCCAACGATTACTGGACTCCCTCCTCTACTCAAAGTGGAAAGGTCATCTCCACATCTTTTAGTAATTACTCTAGAACGTTTTACAAAATGCTTTTGCTTGAGGCAAATTCACCCACCTACAGGTTTAACAGCAATTTTCCCTATTTAAGGAACGGGTTTTATAAAAAACAAAAAGTCAGTATTTTGAGTTTATTTCCTTTCCTTTTCTTCCTGAGGTTACGATGAGCCCCCCTCGGATGCCGACAAATTAGTCCGTTGGCCGTGTACAGATGGGTCAAGTGGCTACAGGCAAAAAGGCATACAAAGTGCATTTTTCTTGCCCAATCAAAAGACGGTATTGATGGGTGAGTTTAAAATACCCACAAAGCCCTTCTTATTTTCTGCTTATCCTGGTTGCGTGTCTTCAAATGCGTGCTGAGCACCTTTTTTTCTTGCTCTAGCAAAAGGTTACGGGCCAGGAGTAATGCGGGTAGTTAATGCGATGATCCATGGTACCTTCAATTTTGGCGTGTATTTTGAGGTCTTAATATTTTTTTACAAATGATGCACACAAAAATTACCACGGTTATTTGTAAGTGGACGCCGGTCTTCCGACCAATGAAAGCGCTAAAACCTGCAAAAATTCACAAGCTTACCTACTGAACGGTACTATTAATAATACTTTTCCAAAGGAGCGAACTTCCGATTTTTTACCTTTTAAAAACTATTTGTCTTGAGAGGCGTTGGAGGAGGGAAAACTTCATCGTGGTCTTTGGAGGATGGCGTGGCGCGCGCTTTGGAAGCGTGAAGTGGCGGGATAGCTTGGGTACAGCCACTTCTACTTACAAGTCAGTCAGCCAGCAAACAGCTAAAAACTCGAGGGTGAAAAAAAGGGATATAAAAGGTCTATCCACCCTCTCGCCATTTTTTAGCGCCTGCTAATGGTCTCGGTTGGTTTTGTTGAAGCCTGGACTTTTCTAGCCAAGGTAAATGTGCGTAAACCGACTCATTGCTCTTGCTGTCAATCGTGTCATGTACTTCAAGATGATGGCTAATTGGGCTACCTTCCCTGGGTGATTTACCACCGTCTGCTACCGCACCTTCGTCGTTCAGCAAGTCATACAGCTTTAGTGATAGATTAAATACGTAAAGGCGAGAAGATTAAGGTGATATTCTCAAAGGCACTTTTGGATTGATGAGGAGTGCCTGGAAGAGACGACTACCGAAAGTCTGTTTCCGCTGCATAGGAACTAGTGATGTGACCTGCTTCACTGTCGAGGCTCTAGACGACTTGCAGGCGGGCCACGGGCTTGCATAAAAGTAGACGAGATGGACAGTTCCACTGAAATTGCAGACGTTCTCTTCATCCTTTTTGATGTACATTTACTTGCTGGAGGTAAAAAAAGGTGGAAAAAGAAGAGAGTGGCGATTGCTTGGCGTGTAGCTGTGTCACATGACTCCACTTGTCCAGCCTACCAACCGACCTTGCGGTAAGTGTTACCCTGGCAATTAAATATGGCTGCAAAATTTGCATACAAATTGCCTTCGGGATGAGTAGCATGCACGTGGGGGCAGAAGGTGGGGATGTGGGTGTGTTTTCTGAGTCCCAACTTTTGGTATGAGGAGGTAGAAATTGCATCAACCACGGAGTCACATGAGAGTTTATTAAAAGTTAAAACAAAGCAGGTGGAGGCTAGTGAGTCGGCGATTTGAGCATCTTGTCAGTAAACTACCTCATGACAGCTCTAAACTGACAAGTTTGTGATCAAGGCGGCGGCCCAATGACAGCCCAGTGACATTGAATGCGGGAATTGCACCGTGCTGGCGCAAATTTTAGGTGACAAACCGTGACCTGCATGCAGTTCACAGGTTCCAACATGTTACAAGGTGGCAGTTCACTAGGATGTACCGAAAATTGCACGAACTTTAAGATCAAACGTCAGTGACTTGTTGGATGGTCTTTCGATCATTCTGCACCCGCAATTTATTTATTTTAGATAAAGACTTTTATTATTTTATCGTTAACGTTTTATGATACAAAAAACCCGTTCGAAAATGCTTTTACCGTAACTGTAATCAGGGGGAATAAACCTTAACTGAGGTGTCAAATTTAACAACTCTCGTGGTCACTGACTTAGCAGCATCCATTCGGAAGTTAATCTATACACAAATTAATTAATTTCCCTTTCTCTTTTCTTTCCTTTTTTGTCATTTTAGGACTTAAAAGTGTCAAAGTGCCTTTGAAAGGGAGAGCGGGGGTTGGGTGCACAATGTTGGCATGCTGGGTTGTCATGACAGGTGTGACATCTTAATCACCGGTAAGGCCTGATATTTTCCTTCAGAGAAATTGGATTTCTCTTTCCTCCAAAAAAAACTAATTTTTAACTCATTCTGCTGGATGATGGAGGAAATGGAGGGGAAATGAACAAAAGCATTTCTTGTCCTGTCATTCGTCTTTGCACCGTACAAGGTGATTGCAAGGCAAATGAAAAGCACAAACCGTTCTTGTTTGTTTAAACGAAGCTGTAGCAGAATTTATTAATCGTCAAATTACTCAGCCAGCACCAGAAAAGGACTCTTTGCTCTGCTTGTCTTTTAATTCCGTCCCGATAAGGTGATTCTACACTTCCTAGCTGACCTTCTGGTCTAAATCTTGTCCTCCACCGTGCTGCTATGACGTGGTAGACCATCAGGGACAGCTCGCGACTCCACAGGAAAGAAGCAAAGGAAGAAATCTGCGGCACCTTGCGATGGGGAAACCTCCCACGCTGCCGTAGTGGTGCTACACGCATCCATCAAGGAGGGGAAAGGCGTCTGTTACAGTCCGCTCTCTGCCAGGATCTTCAACTTGTTGAAGACGTGTTATCCACCAATGCTTGTCTGCATTCAGGCATTATGAGGCACTGATGGAAAAGTATCAGTTTGACAGTTCCAAGCTCCTTAACAAAATGCTGATGTGTATGACTCCTATAAAGCTGGAGAAGCTTTTGGTCCAGTTCACCAATGAAAGCATTTAAAGGTGGGTCTAGCACACTCCAAATTACTGTCTCACCTCAATCTTGAAGAATCATGTGGCCCTAGTAAAGATGAATGAGGAAACCAGCGCGAAAGTCGTGGAAGAGACTCCACATGCGGGTCCTACCCATGTACATCATTTAAAAGACCATCGGGATATTCGGCAATTCTAACTTTTCTTCGAAAAAACCGCATCTCTCAACAATAGTTTGTCGACTGACTTGTGATTAGGACCGACATCTGAAGGTCAAAGTCAGTAAATCGAACAAGCAAGTCACTGATTATAACCCGAATGACCCACTATCTCTCTACGCATCTGAGGCACACCTCAAGTTATTCTCCTTTATGGGGATGTGCCTGCTGTGGAGTGCCGAGGCAAGTGTTCGCCTCTAGGAGGTCAGACGGCAATTAGGGCTGATACTCATCTACAGGTCAAGGATGAACTAGAAAAGCTTCGACTTGAGAAAAGGTTAGGAAACAGATCTTTTTTGCTAAAAAAGGCGCCAAAAGATACAAAAGGGATACAGCACCGTTGCCACTGTACCCTCCCTCCTCCGTTCCATGCTTCCTTAGGCAATAATTGGTTCCTTGCCTTGGCACCGGACAACCGCAAAGTGGGAAAGTGATGAAAAAACCGGTTAAATTCACGCCCTTTTGAGCACATTTGGTAAATTAAAAGTCTTTTGAAACAAGTTGGACACTTTGTACTTGTTTATTTTCTGTGGCCCTTAGTCACGGCGACCAGAGCGTCCGCGTTAGTGGACACAAACCAGGCCGTGGTTCGCGGGCATACTTAGTAAGTCACCCCGCCCCGCCCCACCCCGACCCCCAATCCCCACCTCAACAACGCAGTAATCCAAAAGGTTTCAAGCTAGGAGGCCCTGGAGTGACAAGCTCATGGGAACTTTTATACGAACCCTGAAAAGGAGAGAAGAGTCCTTTGGAAGCCTCAAAGACCATCCAGGAGGTAGGCTTTCTCCTCTGCGAGGGAGGAAGAGGACACATTCCACGTGGGTAAAGAACTCTTGATTAACAAGAGAATTTTTGTGTTTTTAACCGGCCTCTAATGGAAAGGTTTTACCTACTTTTCCATTGCTTCTGCAACTCTCCTTTCCTTTGTTGAGGCGAAAAATCGAGACAAAAGAAAAGGAAGAAAGTCTTTCCAAATGCCAACTTTTGAACTCTTTGAAGCTCTGCGCTGTAGGCGGCTAACTTTGCCCTTCTTTCCATCCACGCTGGTGGATTTATTACTTGCATTTTTAAATGTTTTTTTTTGTCTGAATGGGAAGGAGAACGAAAAGGCAGCAGCAAATTTACTCCAATGTGTAAAAATCTTTCAGTCAAGAATAACTAACGAGGTGATTTGATTGGAGGGAGGAAAGAAGACAACGATTTGACAGAAATTGTTATTTATTTAATGCAAAAGCTTGCCCCTACCCTCCCACCTGTCATCCCCCACCTCCTGGAGCATTGGAAAAGTCCATCAAATGACTAAATAACCATCGGATTAGTGCTGGAAAATCCATTTCTGATTTAGGGCCTTCAAGTTCGTATAAAGTCAGTAAAGTGACAAAGTGGGTTGTCTTTCGGAGAGAATATTTTCATTAAGGGTGAAAATCAAGGGTCTCTTTACCTTTTTTCATCCCCTTCTCTCCGCTTTACCCTTGCTCCTCCCTGCCCCGATCCTCTCCCAGCCTCTCCCCTACCATTTAAGGTATCTTTGAAGGAGTAAGAGAAGTACCCTGGAGACCTCCAGCAAGCTTGTAAGTCTCCCTTTTTAACTCTAGAAGCAAAAAAATTCTCGTCGTGGCTGTCGTGCTTGTCACTTGTCAAAAATGGGTGCTAGTCGATGTACGAAGAGGTGTGAGGGGGGGGGGGGCGGATACAGGCAGGCTGAGGTGCCGCCCAGGGGAGTCGAATAAACTCGTTTTTTGGCGGCTATTTTCCGTCTCCTCCCCTTGGTAAATGCTGTACAGCATCTACAACTTTAGAAGAACCTTTTTTACTCCTGCAAAGGAGACAGGCTGGTGCTCTACTTCTACAAGTTTAGCCACCACTTCATGATATGTGGGTTTTAGGTGAGAAGAATAGTACAAACCCTGGCAAATAGGTTGCATGAAGACATGGTTATGCGTCCTCTTCAGTCTCTACGTGTTTCTACAGGTCGGTGGCAGTGAGGTGAGCCAAGAAATACCACACAAACCGTTTTTTCATCTCCCGTCTTTTTCTACCCGCAATTCATTTAGTTTTGTCCCTCGAGGCGCAAATCGGGATGAGGGAGTGTCGCCTTTAAGTCATAAAAGGGGCACGACCCAGACGTAACGGGTTTCATTAGTTTTTAAGGTGAAGAAACGAATTTCGGGCAATTTTCGATTTGGAGGATGTCCAAAGGTTCTGACGTTGTCAAACGTGGCGATAATCTTAACCACGGAAAGAACAGGTGGGGGGGACACAAAGCGGCACCATCATCAGGTGACCTTTTCTCTTCCCTCCAGTGGAATATCTTTTTATTGTGGCAGGAGTCCCCACCACCTGTGACAGCGCTACTCATTACTATCGAATTTGTCGTTTTTGCCACACATTCCTGTAAGGAGACAAGGAGAGGGTGAGGGGGAGAAAAAAATAATGCCTCCTTATCAAGGACTACAATCCATTGCCTTATCGGTGGCTCATTGTTAACGACTTTTTCCTTTGTTGTGGCTGAAACAATGTTACCTGCCTTATCTTCCACCAGGAGACGAGGAACAGTTTTTTGGTACACTTCACACCACCAACCCGGTGGAAATCTTTGTTTAAAAAAGGAAGGACATGCATCCGTGGAGGTCGTTATTGTGCTCTCTACTCCTTCTACCCCCCCAAACACCTCCCTCTGCACGTATTTTAAGCCCTTACATCTCTGAAAATGTGGGTCAAAACAAATTTGATGTGAATCAAGTTTGTCGACTTTACACGCCAAAGTTGATTCAGCTTTAAGGCCACAAAATCCTC